CAGGAAACGTGATGTCCATATGTGGAAGGTGGCAACCCTCACCTAGCTGGATCCAAGTGGCTTGTGTTTACTCAGGGCCCCCAGATCCCATCTCAGCCCACCCTCTTATCTTACCCTGTTGTGGTCAGCCTTGCCCAGGGGCACACAGCCAGTAGCTGGCATTCCTCAAGCTGAAGGGCTTGATAACTTTGGGGATGAATGATGTCCTCCTTATCTTTGCCCAGCCCAGTGCCTGCCACAGCGTCAGCACTCAGGGGCTAGGTGTCAAGTCGAATTCCTGATTTTAATACCACGGTATTAAAGATGCTAAATCTTTATAGACACTTCTTTCTCTATAGCCTGTTTTCTTCAAAGATTTGTAATGAAACCGCCAAGTTTATTTTTACCTCTTATAAGACATTTCTAAACACCAGTTCGTTTTCCTGTTCAGTCTGCGTTAAGGCTGTCAGTAGACTACTTGGCACTGATGGCCTCTCCAGAGCACCAGAATGTTTTTGGCTGGAGAAAATGGCATGGACAGAAGAAAGCGGGGGTGGGGAGTCACAGGGAAGACTGTTTCACCCACGAGCAACTCTGACTTTTATCTGCTGGCTCAGGAAGATACTCAACTTTTTCTGTGCGTTGTCTTTTGTTTCCTTTTTTCTCGGCTGTCATTTTCTGGGCACTTATTCCATTTCAGACAAGAGCTAAACACTTGACAAGCAGCATCTCATTTAAGCCTCAAAATAAGCCTACCAAGTAGGCATTACCATTCAGTTTTATGGAGGAAGTCAGAGAGGGCTCAGAGAAAGTGAGGAACTGGTCCTTCTCCCTACCCTCTGCCTCAGCTTGTGGAGCCTCACTCTTGTCTCTGAAATCATACTGATTAGCCCAGGAACTAGGAGGGACTTTATTCCTAGGATGTGACTTGGGGTTACATGGTCAATCAAGTACAGTCTGGAATACCCCACCTCTCCAGGAAGCTCACATACCTACCTCTGCGGGGGCCTGAGCAGCAGCCTCATCTTTCCACTTCTCACCCAGGTATGGAGCCAGGTCCTCAGAGGACATTGTAGAGCCTGGGCTCCTGGGTGCCGGGTGGTCCTCACATTTTTTTACTTGCTGCAGCTGCTCCTGCTAGTAAGAGAGGGTCCCAGCTGGGTACCTGTGCCTACCCTCAGCTGACCACATCTAAATTCAAAGAGATCTTGCACCTCATAGTCTGCCAGAGCTAAGGACCTACTATATGCAACTAACATACATACATACATGCATACACTGGTGTGAAGCGAGGGTGGAGACTCTATAGCCTGTTAGATCTTTTAACTCTTGGCTTCATTATTTACAAGCAGTGTGACCTTAGGCAATATATTTAACCTCTCTGATCTTCACTTTTCCCATCTGCAGAATTGAGAAGGCAAGATCTACTTCATTCGGTTGTTTTGGTGACTAAACATCTTAATGCTTATAAAACATTTTGCCTGAAGTGCGTGGTTCAATAGATGTTAGCCATGACCATTGTTACTTGTCTGGCGGTCAGAGTGGTAGTGAATTTGGCCATTTGGATTCCCCTAAGAACTCCGAAGTAACTGAAAATGCCTGTGAGTGGAGACTGCCATCACAGAGTTCATGTCCTTTACTCCGGGTCTGGTGACGCCCTATCCTCGGCTGTCACCCAGACAAAGGCATGCAAAATATGGTAGCTGATAACAGCAGCTGCTGGAACACAAGAGAAGTGACAGCTGCAGGGGAAGAAGGCTATGGAAGAGCTACAGACTCAATGCACAGATGTCTAAGGCCACTTAGTGGCCTGGCTAGCAGCCCTGTATGTCCCTGGGCCTCACAGGGATCCCTGCCTTTTCATATTGTGCAGAAGTGCATACCTCTAGCCATTGAAAAGAAGTTAATGAGGGTTGCTATATCAGCTGAAAGTAATAGAGAACCGTGCAAAGTATTTAAAAATATATATCACCAAAAGGCTGGAATGTGCTTTAAATTCTTTGGTGCCAAAAGGAACAAATGTCATTTTCCTGTGACAGCCCTTGTCAGGAAACCTGAATAAATGAGTCACATAATGACCAGGACTCCTTGGCTTCTGGTGAAGATTAGAGAAGCCTTGCTCTTGACGACATCCTGTTCTTAGAGGAATTTCATTAGCATCTCATACACAGAGCCTGGGTTTGGCCAAGAGAGGAGGGCGGCAGTGTAAAAGACCATCCCACCCGCTTCAGAGTGGCCTGGGACTCAAGGCTGGCCTTCCTGCCTGCCTGGGAAATTCTGGCCCTTTCTTCCAGGAGTTTAAATGCCACCTCCCGAAAGTTTGGCATGGCTTTAGCTTCTTTATGTCAAGGGCTCCTCTACCTGGCTCGCCTGGGGCTCTTCAAGACTGATGTTAGAAAATCTCTTTATCACAACTTCCTCCCCTTGTCCCCATAACTTCCTCCTTGAGGTCTCTCCCTGATTCTTGTGGCTGTCTTATGGGAGAGCTCTTACCTGCCTGTGGGGGATCACTTCCTGCTTGGAGCTCCAAGCATCCTCTTCCTCCTCCTCCTCCTCCAAATCATCAAGGTCAGATTCGCCCTCGGCAATGGGCACAGAGACCCACACATTAGGATTGGTGATGAAGTCACTGTGGTCAACCACGGGGCCTCTGAGAGTGGGGAGCCCTCCGGGGCTCCCCACGGCTGAGTCGGCAGCAATGTGGTTCTCGGCTTTGGAGCTGGAGAGTGGGATCTTCACCACCAGCTGGGGCTCTGCCTTGGTTCGGGGGAGCAGGCAGGGCCTGCGGAAGAAGCTGCGAAGGGACTTCATGGTGCGACGGGCAAATGCGTGGATCCGTGCCAGAGCCACCTGTAGGTTGTTCATCTCCCCATCGTCCTCTGGGGCGGTGAGGTTATCGGCACTGAAAGAGTTCAGCAGCAGGGCGATGAACAGGTTGAGCACCTGAAGAGAACGAACCGGGAGAGAAGATCACTCATTCGAGAGCTGAGCCCACCGCGGCCCACCAGGTGGGCAGCCACACCTGGGCCTCTCACTGCACTCTCAGGATGGTTTTCGTTGGGGGAATAGACATTCTGAGAGCAACCGAGGGGATGTCCCAAGTGACCTGCCTCACGTGGACAAGGCTTGGAAGCACATTCTCCACCACAGAGGAAGATCACCCCTGCTGAGCAAAGAGACATTCACGGATGGCAGTGAGGAGCAGGTGTGGGCCTACCCCGGACCACCTTCACTTGCCAAAGCCCTGGACTCCAGTCCTCCCCCTGGAATCCTGGGCACACCTCAGAGCTTCTAACTTCATGTTCTTCACCTGTAAGCTGGAAGTGCAGACTCTCTACCTTTCAGAGTGGTTGTAAGGAAGAAATGACATGAAGGATGTAAAAGTGCTCGGAGAGGCAAACCTCCTGCCTGAGAGTTAGGGGACCCTGCGGCTCTGCAGGGATGTGCACTCAGCCTGGAAAACAAGGCGTTCTGGCTGGCCCCTCACTCGGGGACATAGGCCGAAGGCGTCTAGCTCAGGGACCCGGGTGGGAAAGACTTTGAAGAGTGTGGATTGGTTGTTTCACGCCCTCTCTTGGTTTAGTTTTCTCTTGTCTGTAAAACTCTTACGGGAAAGAATCTAAGTTGGTCGACTTCCAGGCAATAAGAAAGGGGCTCCTGGAATCCGCATTCTGCCTCCAGCCGCTCAGTGCTGGGGGAGCGAGTCTCCCAGAACTAGAGAAGGTGGAGACAAGCTGAGAGCAAGGGGCCAGGCTGGGACTGAGAAGGGGTGCTGGGGCCAATTCGTGGGAAGGTCTTTAGAGGGGCTCCCCCGAAACATGGGAGTGGATTTTGTTATTGTCACTGTGGTGTTGGATGTTGTCCACGATCCAGCTTCCCTCTTTCATCTCATCCCCTGCTCCTCGCTAGGATCTGTGTAGCTTGGAGAAATCAGTCAGCTTTTACTCCCTTGAGGAAAAATATTTTCTGAGACTCCTTGGAGCGGGGAGGGAAATTTTTCCTTCAACAGCTAACAGCTATCATTTATTGAGTTCCTGCCATAGCCCAGACACTGCACTAGGCAATTTACATATGTCATCTCCTGTAATTTAATTCTCCCAGTAAGCCCATGAGCAAGCACTTTTTTCTTAATTTTAAGGAAATTAGAGCTTGGGGAGATTGCCTCTTGTGCCAGGGCAACCAGCTTTACTAGAGGTAGAACTGGGATTCTAAACCAGGTCTTTCTTTCTCTGTCACGTGTGCTCATTACTGCAAGTCAGGCTGCCTCCCAAGGAAAAGTTCTTATAAAGTGTCCTACATGACAACCCAGGAGGTACAAGGTGGGCATAAAAATGTGCAATGTCAAAGCTTTTCAGGATACCCTGGAAGTCTCCTCCGTAGCCCACGAGACAGTGCCCCAGCGGGGGCTCCACACTCACCACCAAGTTCCCCAGCACCATCACTGTCAAGAACAGGATGAGGCATACGGATTTCTGGCCGACTTCCATGCAAGTCCACATGTTCTCAATCCACTCCCCGCAGAGGATCCGGAAGACGATGAGGAAGGAGTGGAAGAAGTCATGCATGTGCCAGCGAGGCCATTCTTCTCCCGGTGCAGAGATATTGTGCCGATTGTCGCGGTAGTTCTCCCCGAGGAGCTGCTTGCCGACCAGAGCAAAGATAAAGACAATGATGGCCAAGATGATGGTGAGGTTCCCCAGAGCCCCCACTGAATTTCCGATGATCTTGATGAGCGTGTTTAAGGTTGGCCAGGACTTGGCCAGCTTGAGGACCCGCAGCTGCAGAGAAACAAAGACCGCGTTAGGTTTTGGTGGCTGTTCTCATCATCATTCATCTCAAGTCTTGGCCTGAAACCAAAGGCCTGGGAAAAGCACAGGCAGCTCATTCCATTAATATGGGGTGCTCCCAGGAAGGTGCTTTCAGAGACCTTTCTTCCCATGTCATCAGTTACTCAAAGATATGATCAGTCCTCTATGGTCCCCACGTATCGATGTGCTTCACTGACTGTGGCAAAGTGAGGGGTCCGGAGTGGTGTGGTGGTCTTGCCAAAAGTACTCTATTCTGTAGCCGCAGGCCTCCTGAATAAAGCCCTATTCTATTCGGGTGAAGTGGGGTATGATGGACCTCAAAAACAAGTGAGAACGGCCTACTTTTGACATGAAGAGAGGCTAGCCTCCTGCGGGTATGGCATAATGCACTGCACTGGAGAGGTAGTGGCAAACCATCTCTCTTAAGGCAGTTCTCATCCTGGGGTCAGGGACATCTGTTGCCCCCACCAGCTCTGAAATGGCAAGTGTCTATGATTTCACGGACCCAGCATTAAATAATCCAAAGGTTAATTTAATCGACTAACCAAACTACCACCTTATTGAATGCCAGCCACACATGCGCATAGCACAGTACTAGCCTGAGAGGTGGATGGAGAGACGCTCCTGCTCTCACGGAGCTAAGAGTTTAGTTACAGAGACAAGGCAAAGACCCCAAAAGTCTTCATTGTACACCCAAATGTGCTAAGTCCCATAAGATAGCAAAAGCACCATACAAACATTTAAAAAATACACTTGTGTGGTTCTCTAATTTGTTAGAAATACCTGGGCTTAGCTGGCACAGGGTATTTATGGAGCACCTACAAAGAACCAGGCTGTGGACCAGTTGCGAGAGTGCTGAACAGAGCACTATAGCAAGTTTTATCACCCACGGAGGAGTTATAATCCTCTTATACGGAAATTCTACATCCACTTCTCTTAGAGCTCATCTGGAAGTTATTTTTGTCATACTGGAAACAGCTTAAAACACCAATTCTGTGGACTGGACATACATGCAGGTGACAAACCCTAATAAAAACTGAGTATTAGTAACTAGACAGAGTCCTTTTGTGGAGGGAGTACTTGGAGAAGGCAAAATTTCCTTAATGACATGATTGATAAGTTCTCATTCTCAGAGTAAATTCTGGACAAGAGCAAAAGCAGAAGCTGGAGTAGGGCCCTGACACAGGGTGACATCCACCCACTACAGCATAGAGTCTGTGGGGCCTAACAGCAAGGGACACACTGGCAAAAAGACCAGGCATTACCTAGTCTTAATCACACCTGGCTAAGGGTTTCCTCTGGTTCCTTAGTTAAGTGGAGGGGTGTGTGTGGAGAGTTTAGACATTAATACAGTTGACCCTTGAACAACATAGGCGTTAGGGGGACTGACCTCTTATGCAGTCAAAAATACATGTATAATTTTCGACTCTTCCAAAACTTAACTACTAATAGCCTACTATTGACCGGAAGCCTTAACGATAGCTTAAACAGTTGATTAACACATATTTTGTATGTTATATGTATTAGATACTATATTCTTACAATAAAGTAAGCTAGAGAAAATATATCATTAAGAAAATCATAAGAGAAAATGCATTTACAGTATATATTGGAAAAAATCCTCATGTAAGTGGATCTCCAGAGTTCAAACCTGTATTGTTCAAGGGTCAACTGTGTTAGAATCTTCTTAGATAGCAATTTGTTGTCCATATTTAAGCTTACACCAAATTGTAAGCAAATTGTATATATTTCTCATTACAGGGCATGAATTAAGTCATCCTCTATTAATTCTTTTGTTATCTTTATAAAGGGCAGGAAAACAGGATCCCTCCACTTGCTATTCCAGAGTTATTTGGATTTGGAGGCTGCTATGCTTAGCCAGTCAAAACATACAAAGTGTCTGCTGCTGGGTTGTAGTGCCCCCAAATGACCTAGCTGGCTTCTGCTGATACCTAGAATGAGTGGTCCAGGAGAGCCACCCCACCTGTATCCATGTTCCCCGTGACCCTTACTTCCACCCCTATCTAATCATTCTCTGTGGTTTTGGCTCAGCTTAGCATTACATAAAAAGAATTACTTCATATTATCACAGAAAATTTATAAACTGTTGCTTTTAATAGTTGCTGACTCTTCCTTCATGTTTAATTAACCATTTCTCTAGTTAATCTTATAATTAATATAACATTTTCTATTTAGGGGGGAAAGACTGGAAGGAAATAAACCAAGCTGGTAACGTGAATATATTCGTATAGAAACATATCCAAATATTGCAGGCAGTTGAGGTCATGTTATTAGGTTCTGGCTGATGGAATGGAGATGGAGCCAGAAGTAATGTACACTATTTTCAGACAGAGCCATAAAACACCATGCGCTTTCTCTTCCCCTTCCAGGGCCACCTGGATCTCTGAGTCTCAACTTGGAGCAAACATTCTCAGTAGAGCTTTCCGAGCAGCTTGGAATGTGCTGTGAAACATTAACCTGTATGTTAACTTACAGATTTAGAGATGGTCATTGTAACTAGTTGTAAGCATCTTGAGTAATGTAGAACTGGTATATTGAAAAAAGGTGTTGCCAAAAAAAGGTGTTGCCATTTCTCACACATCAAATATATGGCACTGGCTTAGTGATCTTGTAGTGCACAACAAGGAAACTGATATAAAAAGGATTGGGAAGTGTTGATCTGTGTTGCAGTGGCAAAATTATTGCCTGCAATCATCCTGAGTGCAATGTGAGCCAGCAGCTCTAGAGGAAGGGTTTGTAAAACAGAACCTTAGTATTGTGTGTCAGTTGTAATTGGTTATATTTGTCAAGGTACTATAAGAAAGAGATGAGCTCAGAGATTATTTGGCTGATTAATAAGAAATAAAAGGAAATAGGATCCAGGAGTTTAAAGCCTTGAAGTTGTGGGGAAGTACAGTGCTTTAGATCTCAAACAGTAAGCAATGGGATTAAGTCTGTGAGTGTTGAAGACTAGTTAAATATTTCAATGAAATGAAGCAACTCTTAGCAAAATTATATTAACGGTCTGGCCACCAATAAATTGAGAGAAAAAGGCACGGGGACAAGAAAGCAAAGAAATAAAGTAGAACTGAGAACTCTGTCAAAGACCATATGATAGATATGTAGCACCCAGAGAGGTCTGAAGTCATATAAGTTTTAAAGGAAGTGGATTGCAAAAGAAACCATGAGCCATGACTAAAAAGCCTTTGACTGTTTAAAACTTAAAATGAGCCTTGGCCTCTCATTTTCCATAAGCAGGAGTCAAGCTTCCAAGGTTGCGCAGGCCATCTTCAGTCCTAGTGATGCCTGACTTGCATCAGACTAGGACATGAGCAAGAAATAAATCTTTATTGGGTTAAGATTCTGAGTTTGGGGATTATTTGTACAATAGCTAGAATTATTTATTGTTAAGTCACATAGCTTTTTAAAAACAAGATAAAATTAAAATACTTAACACCATAGTTAGTTGGAAAGAGTAACAAATGAAAATTTGTCTTGGAGGAAAGTAAAGATTTTCGCTTTTTACGTTAGATTAACTACTCATGTTATAATTTCTAAGATAACCAAAGAATAAAAATAAGCATTTAGTTTCTAAACCAATAAAAAGGAAAATGAAATAAGGAAAAAATTATCAATCTAAAATAAATCAAGAAGAAGTAGGGGAGAGAGAGAATACCAAACACACTTGAGCAGGTAAAGCAAATAGAAAACCCAAAATATAATGATAGACCCATATCCAAATACATCAGTATTCACAAAATAAGTGGACTACATGCTTTGGTTAAAAGACAAAGATTGGATTGTCAAAGCTGAATAAGAATCTAAAATCTGACTATGCTGTTTGCAAGAGATGTATAAAAATCCTAAGGATACACAAAGGCTAGAAGTAAAAGGATGAATGAAGATATATGAGGCAAATTCTAAACCAAAAGAAAACATTATTAAATTAAAATTAGGCAAGGAAAATTTTAAGGCAAAAAGCATTTCTAGGGATAAAGATCAACTCTTAATGATAAAAGTTTCACTTTACTGGAAAGACATAACAATTTTAAACATGTATGCATTTAATAACCCAGCCTCGAGATAGAACCATAAGGAGAAACAAACCATGCTGTAATCATAGCGGGAGGTATTTTTATACACCACTCGTGCAGTAATTGCTAGAACAAGCAGACAGAAATAAGCAAGAATATAGAATATTTGGACTACACAGTGAACTTTCCGTACTCAGTGGATTATGCAGAGTATTGCACCCTACAACTGCAGAAGACACATTGAAGTGCATAAAGAATATTTTCAATATTCTGAGCCAAGAAGAAATTATCGATAAGTTTCAAAGCATTAAAATTATACAGTGCATGTTCTTGGTCTATAATGCAATTAAGCTAGAACTCAATGGTGTAAAGATAACTAGAAATATCACATGTGTTTTGAAATTAAGAACCATGCATCTAATTGACTTTAGAGTCAAAGAATAAATCGAATTTGAAATTAGAAAATATTTATTTATTTATTTATTTATCTTAAAGTTTATTGGGGTAACATTGGTTAATACAATTATATAATTTTCAGGTATACATTATAATTTGACATCTATATATTCTATTGTGTGATTACTACCCAGAGTCCAGTTTCCTTCAGCTACATATATTTGATCCCCTTTACCCACTTCACCCTCCCCAACCCCCCGAAATTAGAAAATATTTAGACCCAAACAATAAGGAAAATTCTACACATTAAAGCAGTTCTTACAAGGAAATTGAAGTCTTAAATAAGTATATTGGAAAAGGAAATAGGTTAGAATTTTTATCGTAAGAAGTTAGAAAAGAATAAAATATGTAGAATGGAAAATGTAATTAAGATACATGGGAGGATGGCAGAGTAGGTAAACGCTGTGCTTGTCTCCTCTCACAAACCCATCAAAATTACAACTAAGCTACAGGATAGCCATCACATAAGGGCGGTGGCCAACTGTGGACTGCCTGGTGGCTTATGCCAGATGGCCCCGGGCAGGGTACAGGCGACAGTTAAACTTGGCCTGCTACAGGCCCCTCCCAGGAGGCCCCAGCCTGCATGCCTGGTGGCTGGCTTCCGTCTGAGTCAGAGTACCACCCAAGGTCACATCTGGGGACGACACACCCAAAGGGCAGACAGGGTAAGCACCAGAGCCCTGCCAAAGTGAATCCTGTTCAGTAGAGTCAAGCCCCTGCACAAAAGTTCCTCTACTGGTGATGGCCAGTCATCACAACAAATGAGCCCAAGGGTCAATTCCTCCCATTGACAAGCAAACAGGAGCCAAGACTCAATCACAACAAGAAGGCACATAAAACCCATACAAGGGACATAGCTGAAGCACCTGGCTCAGGTGACCAGGAAGACTGTGCCACTGGGCCCTACAGCACACCTACTACATGAGGCCACTCTACTAAGACTGGAAAACATAACAGCCCTACTGAATATATAGAAACAAAAAGAAAGAGGCAGCCAAAGTGTAAAGACAAAGAAACCTGTCCAAAATGAAAGAAAAGAACAAGACTTCAGAGAAAGAACTAAACAAAATGGAGGCAAGCAATCTACCAGATGCAGAATTCAAAACACTTGTTAGAAGCGTGCTCAATGAACTTAGAAGAAGAGTAGAGAAACTCAGTGAGATAGAAAACATAAAAGTAGAGATAGAAAACATAAAAAAGAACCAGTCAGAAATGAAGAATACAATAGCTGAAATGAAGAATACCTTAGGAATTAACAGTAGATTAGATGAGCAGAGGATCAAATCAGCAACTTAAAAGGTAAGGTAGCAGAAAACAATCAGTACAGCAACAAGAAAAAAGAATCCAAAAAAAAGAAAAAAGAAAAAAGAAATGAGCATAATTTAAGGGGCCTCTGGAACAACATCAAGCATAACAACATTCACATCATAGGGGTACCAGAAGGAGAAGAGCAAGAAATTGCAAACCTATTTCAAAATAAATGACTGAAAACTTTCCTAACCTGGTGAAGGAAATAAGACATACAACCCCAGGAAGCACAAAGAGTCCTAAATAAGATGAACCCAAAGAGGCCCATACCAAGACACATCATAATTAAAAAGCCAAAGGTTAAAGATAAAGAACAATAAGAGAAAAGCAGTTAATTACCTACAAAGGAGCTCTCATAGACTGTCAGTTGATTTCTCAACAGAAACTTTTCAGGCCAGAAGGGATCGGCAGAAAATATTCAAAGTGATGAAAAGCAGGAATCTACAACCAAGATTACTCTACCCAGCAAAGTTATCATTTAGAATCAAAAGACAGATGAAGAACTTCCCAGACAAAAAAAAAGCTAAAGAAGTTCATCATCACCAAGCCAGTATTACAGGAAATGTTAGAGGGACTTGTTTAAGAAGAAGTAATAAGAAAAAGATAAATTTGACTAATAAAATGGCAATAACCACATATCTAGCAACAATTACTTTAAAAGTAAGTGGATTAAATGCTTCAATCAAAAGGTAGGGTAGTTGAAAGGATAAGAAAAATAGACCCTTACATATGCTGCCTACGAGAGACTCAATTCAAATCAAAAGATACACAGACTGAAAGTAAAGGGATGAAAAAAGATGCTTTATGAAAATGGAAACAAACAAAAAAGCTGGTATAGCAATACTTATATAAGACAAAGCAGACTTTGAAACAAAGGCTATAATAAGAGACAAAGAAGGTCCCAGTAATCCCACTTCTGGGTATTTATTTGAAGAACACTCCCTGAAGGGACATGTGAATACACATGTTGATCACAATACACAGTGATATTTACAATAGCCGAGATATAGAGGCAACCTGGGTGTTCATCAATGGATGAATGGATAAAGAAGAGGTGGTACACATATACAATGGAATATTACTCAGCCGTAAAAAAGAACGAGATCTTGCCATCTGCAACAGCACAGATGGACAGAGAGGGTATTGTGCTGAGTAGAGTAAGTCAGACAGAGAAAGACAAATGTCATGTGTGGAATCTAGAGAACAGAATAAACAAACAAACAGCAGAAACAAGCTCATAGATACGGAGAGCATTTTGATAGTTGTCAGATTGGGGGTGGAGGGATGGATAAGGGGGGAGGAGATTAAAAGGTACAAATTGGTAGTTATAAAATAGGTACAAAATAGTCATGGGGATGTAGAGTATAGCATGGGGAATATAGTTCATAGTATTGTAATAACTACGTATAATATCAAATGGGTGCTGGATTTATTGAGATGATCACGTCCTAAGTTATATAAATGTCTAATCACTATGTTGTATACCTGAAATTAATATAATATTGTATGTCAACTATCATTGAAAAAATTAAGATATAAAAATTAAAAAAAATTGGCCAACATAAAAAAAAGATAAGATACAGTGTTAATTGAAATAGATATTGAAAAAATTAAGATATAAAAATTAAAAAAATTGGCCAACATAAAAAAAAAAAGATAAGATACAGTGTTAATTGAAATAGAAAAACATCGATGAAATACAGAGGCTCAAGAAGCTAAAAGTTGGTTCTTTGAAAACACTAATTAAACTGATGATCTTTGGCAAGACTAATAAAAAAAAATGAGAGAAAGCACAAATCATTATTTTTAAAGAAAGAAAAGGGTACGATAAGTACCAGTGATATAGACCCTTAAAAGGTAACAGCATAGCATATATGATTTTATGCCAATAAACTTGAAAATTTAGATAAGAAGGAAAATTTTTAGAAAAATATAACTTACCAAAACCAATTCGAGAAATAGAAAACCTGACTAGTTCCACAGCCATTAAGAAAATCAAATCAGTAATGAAAAATGTTGACCTCCAGATGGCTTCATTAGTGAATTTTACTACATCTATAAGGAAAAAATAATTCCACTCTTACCCAAAGTTTGGGTGTAGAAGAAGAGGACTATTCTTCACCTCTTTTTATGGAGATTAAATATCCTGGCAAGTAGCATACTAAATCCTGGTGAGGACAATGCAAGTAAGGAGAATTATAGGCCAAATATTACTCGTCAATATGAATGCAAAAAACTTAAGCAAATTCTTAGCAAGCTGAATCTTCCAATGTATAAAAATTATATCATAATCAAATTGGGTTTATCCCAGGAATGCAAAGTTGATTTAACATTAGAAAATCAATTAATATAACTACTGTAATAGATTAAAGGAGAAAATCTTGTGATTATCTTAATATATGCAAAATAATTGTCTGATAAAATTAAACATCCATTCACGATAAGGATTCTTAACAATAGAGAACTTCCTAAGCTGATAAAGATTTTTTGAATCTTTAAAAAAACCTGCCACAAATATCAAAACTGGTGAAATATTGAAAGAATTCTCTTTGAGATCATGAAAACAGCAAGGATGTCTGCTATGAACACATTGTTTCAACAGTGTACTGAATGTCCTAATCAGTATGATAATGTAATGGAAAGAACCAATGGTATAAGGATTAGAAAATAAGAGACGAAACTCATTATTTGCATATGGTATGATTGTGTTCAAAAGAGAAAGTAGGCCTCTCTTGGCTGGAGCAAAATGAGCAAGAGGAGATTGGAGAGGTAGGCAGGCCCCAATTATGCAGAACTTTGTATATCTTCACAAAGTCTCTGGATTTTATTCTCAGACCCATGACTTTCTGGCCTAGAAGTGGACTTAGTGAGATTGCTGGGCACTCTCTCTTTTGTTTTGACATCTTTCTCTAAAGCTAGACACTGGGTTCTCAGCTCACACTGAGAGAATACTGAGAACAAGAGGCCCGTACTAACAAACCCTGCCATTTCGTAAGGCTTCTTGCCCTACTCCCAAGAGTCAATGAGGCATCATGCTTCCTCTAGATGGCCTGGGAAATTGGGAGATCCCAGTAACCTGAGACCCGCCTAGGAATCTGACAAATCTGACAGATGTGGCTCTTACAGAGGTGGCCTAAGGGCAATGGGGCACTGGTGCCTGGAATCCGGGAACTCCTCCTGTAGAGGGCACCCCAGAGCTGAGTTTGGAGAAGAGCCAGGCCATGAGGCTAGTAGGTGGCAGTTTTTGAGGTGTGTGAGACCTGGGGGCTGTGATTTGGGGCACCAGGGAATCAGCAGATGACATTTATGAGGCGAGAGAAGCTGGAACTCTGGAGTCAGGCAACCTGGCTTTGAGATGCAGATCTGCTGCTCGCTGGTCAGCTGGGAGACTCTGGGTCATCATTTAACCACTCTGTATCTCAGTTAGCCTCATCTATCCAAGGGGATATTAAAAGCCACTCTCTCTTAGGGTTGTTGTAAGTGTAACATGAAGTATGTTATGTCAAGGAATTAACACTGTGCCTGACACAACTTCGGTACTCAAGAAAGATTAGCTGCTATGATTATCGTTGTTATTATTATTTGATAAGAGAACAGGAGGGTGCTGGGAAGTGCCCTCTTGGTGCAGATAAGGGAACCCAGATCCAGAGAGGAGAAGGCATACCCCCACTCTGAATAAGTGGAAAGCACCAAGTCTCCAGCTCCCAGAAGCCATGCCCCGCCTCCCACACGGACAGGAGAAGAAGAGGGAGCTGGCTGATGGGGTCCCTGAAGGACAGTGTCTGTTCTCAGGGATTAGCCTTCCTGTTTGTGAGGGAGTTTCCCCAGGTCGCCAAGGGAGAACATTACCAGGCGGAAGGACCGCAGCACCGCCATGCCACCCTTCTTGGCTGCACCCAGCTCTATCAGGCTCACAGTGACGATGATGCAGTCAAAAATGTTCCACCTCTTCTGGAAGTAATAGTAGGGGTCAAAGGCAATGATTTTGAAGACCATTTCAGCCGTAAAAAAAACAGTAAAGACCTGCAGACAGAAACAAAGAACCGTCTCAGCAGGGTCTGTGGGGTCAGGGGCAACTTACAAATAAGGCGGGAGGGAAGTGTCTTGTTTGTAAAACAGCAAATCTTTTTGCATCGTTCTTATTCAGTTTCTATATTATCCGCTGGCTCCTGAAGGATCGGGGATGGTAACACTCAATGTGGCAACTGAATGAAATCTCAGGACCAGTGCTCAGGGCGTATGCATCAGAATCGTGCTTCAGTGTTTCCATGGGAACGGTGATAGAAAGGGAGTAAGCGGATAATCATTAGGATAATAATTATTACATAATTAGGTAAATTAGAAGTCAATCTGGTTCAGTAGTTTAAAAGCATGGATTGCAGGGCAACACAGACCCAGATAAAATCCCAGCTCAGCCATTTCCTAGCTTGTGTGAGCTTGGACAAATAATACATCCTCTGTACCTCAATTTCCTCATCTGTATAACGGACATAAAAATAAGATAATGCATGTGCAGGTCTTAGCGAAGGGCCTGGCAAATAGTAATTCATTAATAAATAATAGCTATTAGCAAGAACAGAAATAATACATTGCCTCTAAGATTCTTTTCAGCTCTGGGTGTCTTTAATTGTCTTAGAACAGAATTCTGACACTGAGAGAAGTCGGGACCAGGGTCAGGTCACACAGCACCCAGCAGGGAAGGACGACAGATAAAGAGAAAGTAGAGAACACAGCTTTGCTCTCATTAAAGCTTCTCACCAGCTTCGGAAATGAAGCCTCTTACCAGCTTGGGTAAGTCAAAGGGCATCTGTTGAGGACTCTATGCAGGCAAGTCAGTGTGGTGTGATAGAAGATTGATGTCCTGCGCCCTAGAGAAACCTGGGTCAACTCTGGCTCCATCTTCAGAATACTTAACCTCTCTGAGTCTTAGTGCTCTCTTTTAAAGTGTGAGCGTGATGATAACCTCATAACGTTGTTGTGACTCTGAGATAACACTTATAAAGCACCTGACTTGTCATAGGCACTAAACAATGCCTGCCTTTCTTCCCTTTTTAAAAATGGCACTATGCTTTGTCACAGTGGTAAAGGCCTTTCTCTCTCAACTTCTCTGACTATAAAATGGGGTGTGAGCCCAAAGGTCTCTTCTATAAAACCCTCTGTGTTCTACGCTGACTTCTTAGAAGTAAACTTTCCTTTCCCTTCTTTCTGATTCTCCTTTTCTGGAAGGAAACTAGCAAGTCCATAATTGTCTTTAGATGGGAAAGTGGCATGTACCCTCATTTCAAGATCAAGGCAGCTGATATCCTAGAATTCCAGTAGCTGTCCTGAATTCAAGCAAGCTTCCCCTAGGTCAGGGCTTTCTCAGTCTACTTCCTTGTGCTCATTCATCCCAAAGCAATTTCCACCACCAGCCCAGCCTGGTCCCCAAGACTTGGCTTCCTGAACTCAGCATCTACACATCTCCCACATTGTTCCTCTGCTCTCAGCTAGCTAGACCAACACTCCAACCAATGGGAGCATGCTGCCACCCCACCCAAAGCCCTCCGGCCATGATGGCATGGGCCATGGCTGCCAGTGCACTCACAATGTTGCCTATCTGGAACATGGCTTCGAAGGTGGGGCTCATGCCATGGTGCTCCATGGCCATGAAGATTGTGTTCACCACGATGCACAAGGTGATGGTGAGCTCTGCAAAGGGATCTGTCACAATTCTGAAGAGAAGTGTCTTCAGCTTCACCCATGTGGGGCAGCACTCCCAGATCAGATACTTTTGAGCCAAGCTGGTCAAGCAGGGGGGACACCTCTGTCCGGACTCCTCGAGTTCTGCATCACAGATGTAGTCAATGACAGCTGTCAGCCATGCATCGCCTCAGACCTCCTTCCCACAGCCCTCTCTCTAGACCTCATCATCACTAATAACCACCACCTCCAATCTCCATTTCAGCCTTCCATCTCTCTGATTACCATTTCCTACTTTTTCAAGTTCCTTCAGTCTAGCAACTCCATTCTGGTCTTTGTCCCCATCCAGTCCTCCAAACCACAGACCCTATATTTTTTAACTGCTCATCACCTATGTCATGTCCTTACTTCTCAGCTTACCCAGCTCAGAGTTCATGTCCATCCCTCTATCTTTTCCTTTGAAGACACCCTCAATTCCCCTGCCCCTCTCCCCCTCCTTTGTACTTGCCTGGCAGAATCCAAACCCTGAATAAACCCCATGTGCAGAGCACTTTGCACCAGCACCCTGCCAGTTGAAACTGGTTGGAAAAAGTACACAATCATGCTGGCTGGTCCCACTAGGGACTCGTGAGTCCCAGTCTTTCACTGCCCAGAAATCCTGCCATGTTTCTCTATTCGGTCCACTCCTTTAGTCTACTAGACTACTTTCTCATTTCCTCCTCTCTTCTCCAACCTCCATTTCCCCCTCTCTACTCGGGCACTAAAGAGAAGTACAGGAAGTGGTGCTGAGTAAAGAATCTTGCAGAGACACCATTGTCACAAGAAGCAGCTTGTCTGTGAGCCAGGACACGAAGACACTCGGCCTTGTAAACAGCCTTAACATTGCTGATCTTGATTATCTAGGAAGACAGGGAGGCTAAAAGAATCATGCACTTGCTAGCTTGCAACATGATTATGGTTCCTCCCCAGAAGAATCTCCTGCGAAAAGTTAATCCACAAAGAACTCTCCTTCTTTCCTTCTGTTACAACTAAAGAGGTGTCCCTCCTATTAACAGCCCATGTCTCCACTTGGCATCTTCTCCTGTCAGCCATTTCAGAAATCTATTGAACATTCCCTCTTTCCTTTATTTTCAGTCTTTCCCATTCTCACATGTCCTCCCAAATTAGCTTATAAATACGCTTTTTAAAAAGCGCCCCCCCACACACAAATAAGAAAAAATATTCCTTCAATTCTACTTACAGTCTAGTGTCATTTTACTACCTCATTGTCAAAGGCAAACTTCTTGAAATATTTATTCAAATACAACAGTGGTCCCTAACCTTTTTGGCACTAGGGACTGGTGCTTCTGAGAATCTAAAGCCTGATGATCTGAGGTGGAGCTGAGGTGGTGATGCTAGTGCCGGGGAGCAGCTGAGAAGACAGATGAAGCTTTGCTCACTAGCCCACCACTCACCTCCTGCTGTGCGGCCCCATTTCTAACAGGCCACAGACTGGTACCACTCCACAGACCAGACTGGTACCAGTCCATGGCCTGGAGGTTAGGGACCTCTGAATACAACATCTTCATTTCTTCACCTCTCACTTATTCTTCAACCTCCTCCAATGTGGCCTCTGCTTACTAACCTACTCCATCAATCCTTTCTTGATCAACCACCAAGGACATCCACTTGACTAAAGGCCCTGGGTCCTTGTGGGGTTTGATCTTACTTGATCTTTCAATAGCATTGCCTCTTTTGATCTTTCTGTTCTTTCTGAAGGAATTTAGACCCTTGGTTCTGCATTATAGTCTTCTGGGTCTCCTCCTATTTCCAGGCATTCTTTCTCAGCTTCCTCTGCTGGCTCCATCTCTTCTGCTCACTCACTGATTATTGTAGTTTCTTAGAACATTGTCCCAGCCCTTCTTCCTTTCTTTTCTTGATTCTCTCTATGTCATCTATCCCTTGCATCATCTCAAAATTAACATCCATATTCAAACTGCTTTCAAATATGTATCTCTAGGTCACCCTTGTCTTCTAATTTCTAAGCCCATTAATTATAAAGCCAACTTCCTACTGGACAGCCTTACCTGGATGTCTCAAGGGTGCCTGAAGCCCAATATGTCCCAGACTCAACTCATCATCTTCCCCTCTCATCTTTTCCTAGTGAATCCCCCTCCTCCAGCTGAAGTGTCCCTTTATGTCATTGCACCAGGATCCTTTCAGTTGCTTATGCCAGATCAACGTGAACCACCAAGTCCTGAATCTTATGCTCCTCAGATAGCAATCAAATCCTTCCGTTTCCCATCATCCCCACTGCTACCTCCTCGGAGTCCAGGCATCGCCATCTTTCGTCTGGTTTTCTCCTA